ATGTTGTGTGTCTGTGTGTGTGCAGGTGGAGTCGGAGGAGTCCAGTGGTGACGGTCATATCCACAGTCTGGACCCTCAGTTGGAGCGACAGGTGGAGATCGTCAGGAACCTGGTGGACTCGTACCTGTCCATCATCCACAGAACCGTCCGAGACCTGATCCCCAAAACCGTCATGCACCTGATGGTCAACAACGTATGACAACACACACACACACAAACACGTCACACACCCGATGGTCAGCAACTTACGACAACAGACACACAACCATCATGTGACTCTCTCTCCTCAGACGAAGGAGTTCATTCACGCCGAACTGCTGGCTCAGCTGTACTCCTGTGGAGACCAGAACACCCTGATGGAGGAGTCACAGGAACAGGTGAGACGGACAGACAGGTGAACAGACAGACAGGTGAGACCGACAGGCCGGTGAACAGACAGGTGGACAGACAGGTGTCCTGTGTCCGGTCCAGGCGCAGCACCGTGATGAGATGCTGCGGATGTATCACGCTCTGAGGGAGGGCCTCAACATCATCGGTGACATCAGCACGTCCACCATCACTACGGCGATGCCTCCGCCGGTCGATGACTCGTGGCTGCAGGTGACCGGGATGCCGTCGGGTCGAAGGTAACCAGGCGATGCCGCAGGATTCCGTGGAAACGGCAGGTGAGCGCCGTCACTGAGTCTGTGCTGGTCTCTGCAGGTCTCCCATGTCCAGCCCGACCCCTCAGCGCCGGGCCCCTCCTGGACCGCCCCGACCCGGCGGCCGGGCGGCTCCGGGGCCTCCGTCTCGACCCGCGGTGTCACCTGATCCTGGACCGCCCTCAGTGCCATCCAGACCCAACAGAGCTCCCCCACCTGGAGTCCCCAGGTAACTCTCCTCTGGTGACGTGACGATAACAGGAACCAGAACCAGACCGGCTGTCCGGTTCTGTGTCCATACGTCACATGTGAGAACCAAAAAGTTACTGATTAAGATGAATCTGACAAGTTTGGTTCTCTGAGGTCAAGTTCTGGACAGAACCGTCACTGACCCACAAACCTTCACTGCTTCACTCCTTCATCCATGCACAGTTCTGTCAGTTCTGCAGAACGGTTCCAGTTCTTTGTCCAGACGTCAGGCTGACTTTGCTTTGTAAGAACCTGCTTTAACGTTGTTGTCTTACGCCGTCACATAGACGTAAATCCTAGAACTTCATGTTCTGATATCTGTGGTGGTTCTCCCATTGCACTGTGAGACACCTTCACTGTGAAGGTTCTGAGAAGATCCAGGTGCCAGTATGGATCAGAACATTTTCCACATGAAGGTCTCACAGGAGGAACTGAGCAGAGAATGAAACTGTGATTTAAACTGTGACCTGAGTGTGCTTCCAGATGTTTGCAGATGTTCAGAGTGTTCAGTTTGACGCAGCACACGGACCCACAAATATCTGCAGAACTCACTGAGCTGAAAACGTTTCCAAATTGACGAGATTCTCTGGTTCAACATAAACGTACATGAAACAGCTGAAGACCTGCAGCTGCTCGTCTTCACTGAATCTGAAGTTCTGCATCAAACTGGACACAATCTGAAAATGAGTTTTATCAGACAGAGAAGAAGAAGACGTTAGGTTCTTCTTTGTTGGTGCTGTAGGAACAAACGCAGCGATCCACAAACAACCTGCACAGACATGGAAAAGAAAGGCGCTCTTTCTTTCTTCATCATCTTCATTCCAGACTCCCGTTCTGGGAAATCTTTTTCATCTGTGTGAGTCAACTGCTGAAACAGGTCCAGTTAGCTTAGCTTAGCACAGACACTGAAAAGGTGGGAACTGTGAGCCTAGCTTAGCACAAAGACTGAAAAACAGGTGGGAACAGTTAGCGTAGCTTAGCATAAATACTGAAAACATTGGGAACTGTTAGCCTCGCTTAGCACAAAAATATTAAGCGGGGGAAACTGTTAGCCTAGCTTAGCACAAAGGCTAAATAAGCTGTGTAGTAGTCACACAGAGATGAAACAGATTTTCATTTAACTGACTCACAACTCCAACATCCACCTGGAGCCATGTCTGTCCGTCTGTCCGTCTGTCTGTCTGACTGTCTGACTGACTGTCTGTCCGACTGTCCGTCTGTCCGTCTGACTGTCTGTCTGTCTGTCTGTCTGATTGTCTGACTGACTGTCTGTCCGACTGTCCGTCTGACTGTCTGTTTGTCTGTCTGTCTGTCTGTCTGACTGACTGTCTGTCTGTCTGTCTGACTGACTGTCCGTCTGTCTGACTGTCTGTCTGTCTGTCTGTCTGTCTGACTGACTGACTGTCCGTCTGTCCGACTGTCCGTCTGACTGTCTGTCTGTCTGCCTGACTGTCTGTTTGTGTGATCCTGTTCTCACAGTACCTTTTAAGGTTAACCAGGAAGCTCTCAGGTGTGTCAGTGTCAGAGCAGGTAGCCCCGCCCCTGGCTCCTCCCCCTCATATTGACCATATATGGTTATTCTTTCAGAATCTCAATCAGTGACCAGTGAGGAGTTCACCAATGGTACGTCAGCTGTCAGTGTGATGTCACTGTCTTTCACCAACTCTGTGTGTGTGTGTGTGTGTGTGTGTGTGTGTGCCTCACCATCCAATCAGATCGCAGTCATCACTATGTGACCCCGCCTTCTCCCTCATCATTACGGTTAGCTGTGTGATTGACGGCTCCATCGACCACTTACTGACTGTGTGTCTCTGTTGCTTTTATTTGTTTGTGTTTGTCTCCAGTCGGAGGGCTCCTGCATCTCCATCCAGATCCTCCAGACCCGCCTCTGACTCCGCCCTCTGACACCACACAAAATATACACAGCAAATACACAACATACGCAACATGCAGAAATATTCACACATGTATGCACATGAAACACGTGTAAGAGTGAATAAGATGAGCCAGCTGATGGTGACAAATGTTCCATACGTGGCTGCAACTGGTTCCAACTGGTTCTGATGACCTGGATCAAACTGGATTTGACTGGTTTCACATAGCTGAATGGGATTTCAGCTGGCTCCACACAGTTCTGACTGGTACCATCTAGTTCTAGGCAGTAACTAAGTTCAGCTGGTTCCAGGTGGTTCAAACTACTTCTAGCTGCTTCCAAATCATTCTGAATAATTGGAACGAATCAGATTTGTTGGTTCAGACGGGTGTCAGCTGACGGTAGGTTGCTCTCACCCCTTTCAACTAGTTCCTTCTGATTCAAATTATTATGAGTGGGTCTGACTACATCAAGCTGAGTCTGTCTTGATCTGACCAACTGATTATAACTGGTTCTGATATGTTCTAGCTTGTTCGAATTGGTCCTAACTGGATCTTCTGCTGCCAACTGATTGGACGATGCCACGACCTGTTGTCGCTGGGTCCTACTTTGATCCAAAATATTATAATTGTTTTTAATTGGCTCTGAATGTTTGGAATCAGTTTTAGTGGGTTTGGGTTTTCTCTGGCTTTTTCTAGCTGGTACCAGTTAGTTCTTCCTGGTTTTACTAGTCCCCAGGTTACTGGGATGTCTCAACTGGACTCATCATAATAAATCAGATGATCCAGCTGATGTTCACCGATGTTCTTCACAAGGTTCTGGAGCACAAACATGCACAAACACAATGTGGTGCTCATACTGGTTCTAACCAAGTCCAACTTGTTAATGCTAGTGCCAGTTGATTCTAACAGGATCCTATAGATTCCAACTGGTTCTAGCCAGTTCTGGTTCATTCATATGGTCCAGCTACTCGTTTTGTTGGGTTCCAACAACATCCTGCTCATTTCAGTTGATTCCAAAAGGTTCCTTCACTTTCGTACTTGTTCAACTGGTCAAAAGTTCTTGCAGGTTCGAGCTGTTTGTATCTAGATTTAGCTTTTCAATTTTGTTCTAAATACTGTTCCCAAGATTCCTACCTGTGCTTTCCAGTAGGTCCAGTGGGTTTCAAAAAGTTTCTTCTTTTTCAGTTCCTAGCAGAAAGTTCTTCCTGGTTTCAACAGGTCCCAGGTTCCTCATTGGATGTTAACAGGTTTCTGTGTATTTGGTTTAAACTCTGTTTTGATGGATCTAAATGGATCTAAGTGGTTCCAGCTTTGCCCAACAGGATCCATCCTGCTATTTCTAGTTCCAGATAGTTTGATCAGCAAGAACACTGATGTTTTCAACTGATTCCAGCGGGTTTATACTCGTTCTACCTGGTTTACATGTGTGTTCCAACTGGATGTTGTAAGTTCCTGTTGTTCCAACATGTTCTGGTAGGTTGTAAGGTTGGTGCAACAGGTTCTCTCTGGGTACATGTAGTTCCTTCTAGTTTCTGCTGGATCTGTCTGGCTTCCTGGCTCTTAATAGCGCTGCATGCTGTGTTTGCTCAGGTCACTTTCTAACACAGTCAATGTTTGCTCCTTCCCAGCTGCAGTCATTTGTTCTGCCAGTCAGAGAACCGCTCAGTCAGTAGAGTCCTGATGCCGTTCTGTTCCTTACTGGGATGATGGTGACAAATGAATCCTTCTGAATCCTGCATCAGTTGTTCTGTTCATGTAGAATACGTTAAAACTTTACCTCTTGTATTAAACAGCTGCTTACCTTCTAGTTCCAGTGTTTCCATTTGGTTCTAAATTGTTTCAGTAGTTTCTGACTCATCTATCTGGCTCTAAATGCCCTCACTGGAACCGGTTCCCTGTGGTTCTAGTGGTGGGTTCCATTCTTACTGGTCTGAGATAGTTTACATTAATTGGTTGTACATGGACTGTCCTGGTTTCCACCGGTTCTGATCAGTAGCTTGAACTGGATTCTACTGGTTCCATATTGGTTCCAACCAGCAGTGATTGGTTCCATGTGGTTCTAACAGGCTTCAAGTAGCTCCAACATGTTTGTATGGCTTTCAGCTGGGTCTAACTTATTTCAGCTGGTTCTAACTGGTTTTCATGAATTTTAACTTTTTCTGACTGGTACTAACTGGTTTTGATTGGTTCCAATTGGTTTGTGCTGGACCTAACGGGTTCTGACTGGTTCCCACTAGTGCCATCAGAGTACTGTTTGTGGTGGAACCGTTCCCCTGTAACCCTTCCCTTGATTCACTCTTGTTCTTTTTCTTTTGTCTGTCTCCGTGTTTGTTTTCTGTCGCTGTTCTTCCCAGTCGTCCCAGTAAAGGTAGCCCCGCCCACGGAGAGAGTCCCCAGTCTTCTATTGAGGGTTGAACCGAGTGTGTGTTTGTGTCTCTACTGAACTGTTCTACTGTTCTCTGCCGATGCTGTGTTACTGTGAACCTTACGAGTAATAATAATATTGATGAGCACATTATGACTATATAGCAAACGATCAGCAAACTCCTGCAATACTGAGTGAACTTACCGTCTGCTGTCGGCCGGTGAGACTGGCGCCTGTCTGCCTCCTCATGGGACGTTCCGTCAGCTTTAGAACGTTCTGTAGATGCTGTTGAGGTAAAAACACCTCATTCTGACCTGGACGTTCAGGTTAAATCGGCTCCTGGAATTAAATCACGCTGCTGTGTTTTTGTTTTCAGTTTCTGCTTTTCTGTCTCGTATGAAACCGAGATGTTCTGATTTAAGCACCAACAGAACTTTTCTTTACAGTGTAAAGTTTAAATATCGTTTGAACTTGTGTATTTATTAATCTATTTATTGATTTATTTATGATCTGCAGTTCTTGTCTGTAAGATGGAAAATGTTTCCCACCAAACAGCTTTGACATCAGTGTTCCCACCATCTGCTGTGTTCTGTTCTACGGACATGTGACGGATCCCAGCTGCTTCTAACTGGTTCCAATTTCTTCTGGTTCCTTTCAACAAGAGTGACTTGTTCTGTGTTGTTCCAACTGAAACTGACTGGTTCTAAATGACAGTTACTGGTGGTTCTAACGGCTTTCTTGTGCTTGGTTCCACCGTGCTTCAAATGGCTGCACCTGGTTCTGATTTGTCTCAACAGAGACATGAAGCACTTCATACTGGTACCAGTTGTTTTCAGTTGGTACAACATGTTCTGTCTGGTTCAAATTCTTGCCAAATTCCTGGTTCCAGTGTACTGCAGCTGGTTCTGACTGGTCCCAATTGTTTCTAAATTATTCCTGGAGGTACTGAGAAGCTCCAGCATCCTGCCACCTGTTCTGTCTCATTCAGATTGGTGCCAATTGATCCCAACTAGTTCTAATTGATACCAACAGGTTCTAAATGGCTCTTAACTGGTCTCAGGGGATTCTTACTGGTTTCAGTTGGTTTCAGCTGGTTCTAACTGGTTCTAACTTGCTGTAACTGGTCCCAGTTGGTTCAGACTGGCCTCAGATTATTCCTGTGAAGTTCCTCAGACTGCTGGTCTCAACCTTCTCCAGCTGCTTTCACTCAGAACACCTTGTTCTGTCTTGGCCCAGTGGTTGACCAATTCTTGGTCCTAACAGGTTCCACTATGCTCCTGCCGGTTCCGACTGGTCTAACTGCTTCCACAACATTCCTGTTGGTACTAAGTAGCTCCAACTCATTGGATCCAACTGGTTCCAGTTGTTTTTAATGGACTGTATTAAGTTCCAACTGGGTCCAGACAGTTTTGACGGGTTACTTTTGGTTCCCAACATTTTGTTTGTTTGTTTGTTTTGGTTGAAAGAATCCAGCAGTAAATAAAGTGTCACTTGGAATTGTATTAAATAATGTTTGTTAGGCCATGATGTAACTTTTGGTTTCTTCTGATGTGTTTCAGTTTCTGAATGTTTGATGAACTAACTTTTTAAAGTGTTAATTCAGTTGATGACGATCTGATCAATGAGTCTGATCAATGAATTGGTTTTGTGAATCTGATCGATCAATCCAGGAGAGAAAAAACGCAGTCAGCAGTATTGATCCGTACTGACTGCATGCGGTACGACAGCTTGAATCAGACTGTATGACGGGAAGCTGCTGATCTATCTATTCTGTGTTTGTGTATCGTTGTCATGGTGATAGTGTAGTTAGTCGAGCTCCGAGCTGCGTTCAGCTGCTTCACTGTTAGCAGAGCGACAGCAGGACGTGTTTGTAGCCGTGAAGTCCTCGTGTGTTCACTTTAGTGTCAGCATGCTCACTAAACTCTGCTTTCCAAAGTGCTGTGTGACTCTGTGGTGAAGTGTTGACGTGTGCAGCAGCATGTTGAACGCAGCTCAGGACGGTAGTTCAGTCTGTACCTATCGATGTCGTCCGTGTGCTGTTTACAGGAGATAGTCATATATCAGTGAGCAACATGAATATAGAGCATCTATTAAAGTGAAATATGCAGCGGCCCACACTGTAGGGTGTGTGTGGGAGTGTGTGTTACAGTGTGTGAATGTGTGTCGTTAGTTGTGTATCTGAGTGTCAACACAGACGTGTTAACATGAATAAAGCTTTGTGTGACTGAACATGACGAGTGTCGACTCTTTGTGACGAGCTGAAGTGAGCGGCTGCTCCCTGGAGAGGACGTCGACTAACTTATTCACTCATTCATTGACAAACTCATTCATCCAATCATTTGCCAGTGAAGTCTTCAGCTGCTAACTCATGCATGTATCTGGATCTCTAACTCAGCTGTTCAGTGACTAACTCACCGAGCACCTCATCAACTAAGTCATCCTCTCGTCTTCTAACCTGACTCATCGGCTGACCCATTCAGTCTCTCACCAAATCATTCAAGTCATTTGTTCCTAAACTTGTTCATCAAGTCGAATCTCTGACTATTAATTTGAAACAAACAGGTCATTAAACTAACTTATTAACCGTCATTAGCCACTAGACCAGGAACTCACCCAGTGCTAACTAATCCACTAATCATCAACTAAATCCTTCATCCTTCAATCCTGTTCAATAAGTTACCTGCTGACCAAATTAACTAGTTCACACAGTAATGCATTAACCAGTCAAACACTAGATCCACTGATGTGCAGATTCTTCATTGGCTGTTTAAACGTAGAAGGTTCAGAGCTGTGCTGCAGCTTTCAGCCAGCAGGTGGAGCTGCAGGTTTAACCAGCGTAACCAGGTTAACCGTCATCGTCATCGTCACAGTGAAGTTAGTTTAACTGAGACTCAAAGAGGAAGACGAGGAGGAAGCGAGACAGACTGAAACGGACGGCTGCAGGACAAAGAACGACAGAAAAGCAGAAACAGACGACGAAACTGTCTGTAAATCACAGTCTGTCTGCAGACATGTCATCCAGGGCTGACAGTAAGACAGGTGAGCTGCCTTCTTCTTCTCTTTCTCTGTCTTGTGTTGTCACATGCTACCTGTTAGCCACCACAGGCTAAAAACAACCTCTTCAGGGTCTTTTGTTTTGGTAGTTGTTGATGATGATGATGATGATGATGTCGATGTCGTCCTCCTCTTCAGCCTCCCAGTTTGCGTCTCTCACCTTGAGGCTGAAGGACAAGCTCCACCCACCACGAATCAGAAGCTCTGAGCGAATCAAACACACCCAGAGTCAAAGAGTCAAACCGCCTGACCTGCACCTGCAGCAACACAAGGTACACACACTATTACACACTATTACACACACACTCTGCAACACACACTGTTACACAAGGTAGACCTTCTCAGTTCTGGACCTCTGGACTGTGTCTATCTATGTCTGCATCACGGCTCCACATGGAGAAGACCTGAACAGAGGAGGAGAAACATCTGACTGAGAGACTGGACAAAGATGGAGAAGGATCCAGAAGATCAGTGAGCAGCTAGAACCCAGTGCAGCCCAGTGTGAGCAGGAACCAGGAGGTCCAGAAGGAGCCACAGCAGCACTGATCAGGGCTGCAGTGGTCGTCCTCCTACAATGACTCCACGGACAGTCAACTACTGTCACTATGGAGCTGTGGACACCAGACAAAGGCAGCTGCTTCAGACTTGGCACAGGGCTGATCAATGGAGACCAGAGTTAGTGTGAAGCTCACACAGTGTGAAGGACACTTCAGAACATCAGCCTGAACATGACATCACTGTGACATCATCAGTGTGTGTGTTGCTGAGTAATGTTGCTCATTAAAGGTGTGTGTTTGTCAGTCTGGTGGTGTTCTGGTGGACCAGCAGCGGGCCGTCCTCAGCTCCCTGCAGTACTTCAAAGCTCTGGTGGACAGACTGGGAGTGGACAGACCCGGCCGTGACAAACTGGTCCTGGATCAGTTGGTGGTGGGCGGGCTGTTGGGCGGGGCTTCCACTGGTGTCCTGGAGGCGGTCCAGACTCTGGTCCAGCTGGAGCCACACCTACACAACAGGTTAGTTTCATCTGCCAGTGTTTGAACGTGGACCGCAGAGTGTCTCCTGACCATCAGCTCACCTGTCTGTCCTCCCCACAGCAGGACCATCTCCACCTGTCTCACGCGTCTCTACCACTCTCTGGCTGAGCTGATTCGCTGGGCCGACCAGGTGATGCTGCAGGGCGTCTCCCACGACAACAAGGAGTCAACAGAGAGCGTTACCTCCATGATTAGGGCCGTGTTGGACGACGTCAAGGTGAGAACAAATTACACTCTGGCTTGGTGTGCTTGGTTGTCTGTCTCTAAGTGTAGCCCTGTGATAGACTGGTTACCTGTCCAGGTGAACCTGTCTTCACCCTGAGCCAGCTGGGATAGGCTCCGCCCCCACCACCCTAGTGAGGGTAAAGATGTAGAGATGATGGATGGATGGACTGTTCTACACACTGGTCCTGTTGTTGTCATTTCCTTCATATCTGTTTGGCTCCTGTCCTGTTTTCTACTTCGTCTTGTCCTGAGTGTCTCAGTGGACACGAGCTGGAAGCAAAGGACAGACTGAGGTCTCCAGGCTCAGTCCGTGTCATCTGCCTTGTCTTGTCCTTTCATGTCCTGTTCTTGTCTTGTGTTGTGATCGCTTTGCTTCTCTTGTTTCCATCAGGAGCTGGTTCGACTGGCTGCAGAGAGACAAGATGTCTCCGCCCCCTTGTCTCCTGTCCAATCACAGTCAGAAAACCAAGAGATATCTGAAAGGACAGTGGGGGAGGAGGAGACCGTCTTAGCTCCGCCCAAACCTCCAATGCCCCTCCCAGAGCCCCTCCCCCTGGGCCAGAGGTGAGTCTGTGCTTACACTTGATTGGCTGACGTATTCACTCCGTGTTGGACATTAGCTGGACGGCATTTCCTGGAGAAAAACTAGTCAGATTGTGGAAAGCTCTTGACGCTTGACATCTGGACGTTTAAATGTGTTTTTGGCCTTAAGTTTATCAAACGAGTAGCAACTTCAGTGTGTTGCTGTCACAATAATATAACTGTAGTGGAGAACCTGCTGAGACGTGACCTGTTCGTCAGCAGGCTCCGTCTGAAACTTCACACTTCTGCCACATTTGGTTTCAACTGGACAAAGCTTTCAAGAGATACAGCGGTTTGAGTGTATTTGACAATCGTGACGAGCATATGGGCCATGGTTGAAGCACTTCAGCACTAGTGTGCACTTAGTGTGGTGATGGTGAGGTATGTAGGGACTGGAGTCAATAGTCAGAATTCAAAATGGCAGAAACGCCTGTGCCGTTCAGCATCATCCGCTGACACCACAAACACCAGCTGTCAGGGCTCACTGCTGCTCTGTACATGCAGGGCTGCTGTCCGCTGAGCTTCAGTGCTGCAGCTGTGGACTTTTTAAAAATGCTGAGTGTTTATTTGCAGGTGTTGAATATTCCAATAGACTTTAAAAAAAAACCATACATGGGGGCGCCGCATAGCTCAGCTGGTTGAGCTGGCGTCCCATGTACAGGGCTGCAGTCCTCACGTGGAGGTCGTGAGTTCGAGTCCCGCTCATGACCCTTTGCGCAGGTCCTTCCCTCATTCTTCCCCCCCCACTTTCCTGTCTCTCTCTCTGTCCTACCTAATAAAAACAAACAAACAAACAAACAAACAAAAACATCACAGGGGGGCGGAGCCTATCCCAGCTGACTCAGGGTGAAGGCAGGTTCACCTGGACAGGTAACCAGTCTATCACAGGGCTACACTTAGAGACAGACAACCAAGCACACTCACATTCACACCTACGGACAATTTACAATCACCAATTAACCTCAGCATGTTTCTGGACTGTGGGAGGAAGCCGGAGAACCCGGAGAGAACCCACGCTGCACGGGGAGAACATGGAGACTCCACGCAGGAAGATCCCGGGTGTCCTCACCGGGACGCGAACCGGCGACCTTCTAGCTGTGAGGCCACGGTGCTAACCACTGATCCACCTGCAGCCTGTAGTGAGATCAGTTACACTCATTTATATTAACGTGATTTGGGGTCCAGTCGATCAGCCTCTCAGTCAGTTACACAGAAACCTAAAAGTCATCTACTGAGCGCGAGCAGAAATAGATCTGTGGGTTAAACAGGAAGCAGAACAACTGAGCACATGACTCTTTGCCCCCCCACCACTTCCTGTGTTTCTGAACTGCAAGAAGAAGAAAAAGAGGAAGAAGACGCTTCAGAGCCCAACAGACGACAGCAGTTTCTTCACAGCAGAACGAAATTTGTCCAAACAGGACAAACTGAAGCTGGAAAATCATGAATGTTGTTTAACTCTGAACCTCAAGCAGCAGCTTCTGTCTCGTGGTCCTTCTCTGAGGTTCATGTTGCAGCATAAAGTCCTGCAGCTCTGAGGAACCAGAACATGAAGGAGGAGACAGAACTCAGAGACGTTGTCTGTCAGCAGGACTCAGTTACAAAATGATCTCTAAAAGTTTCAAAAGGATTTCCAGTGTTTTTAAATTTTAACTCACAAAAATAGATCTGTGTTCTGACATGCTGTCTAAATGTGTTCTTGCCAGTTAGTGGGAGTTATGAACGAGGAACCAACATGTCCAACATGTTTCCAAGTGTCCCCAGATGTTACCAACTCTGGACAACATGGAGGCTCCACATATTATAGATTAGGCATGTTGATAATTAATCCATAAATAAACCCATTAGAAACATATTCATTGAAACGGCAAAAGGTGACACGTTTCAGAAAATGTATCATAGATGAGCTGCAGTACCGGGTTGCTGTCCTGGTCACTGCTAAGGCTGTCCTACTGGAGAACTATTAAATGACTTCAATGTCTGTCTGTCTTAGTCCTCCAGCTCTGCCTCCTAAGAAGCGTCACTCATCATCAGGCCCCGCCTCCTGCAGGGTTGCCATAGTAGCACCATGGAGACGAGAGCCTGACGAGGACAGACAGGTTCAACAGGTGTGCACATTTAATTCACATTTTTTATTTTTTATGTTTCCACAGCAACGTTTTTACTTTTCACTGTGTCTCTATTTCAGATTGTCTGTCTTTTATTTTGAAGCTCAAACCAGATTCAAACTAGATGTATGTATTTGTTTCTGCTGATTGATCTGTTTGTGCTGAAGTTATTTCCATGTGTGTGTGTGTGTGTGTGTGTGTGTGTGTGTGTGTGTGTTTTGCAGGAGTGTGAGGACGACTGTTGGAAGCGGCCTCCTGCTGCTGCTCAGAACACACACTGTGGTAACACATCTCGACATCTGCTGTCACTTTGACATCAAAGACTCTTTCACTGGAAATTCTTTTCCGGAAAGCAAAATAAAACTGATTCAAGGTTGACAGTCAATAAAAGGAGAAACCTCACAGAGGTAACACTTTGTATAGACCCAGTACAGTATGGCACACTCAGCTGGACCACCAGTGACAAACTCAGGTGAACTGAGAGTCAGGCTCCGCCCCCTGATACCTGACAGAGGATGGAGCCTGTCCAGATAATGGACGCATGTATAACTGAAGAATCTTAGCTTTCCAGCTGCCCTTCAATAAAAGAAACATTGAATAACATTGATACAGTGTTGTGGAATCAGTTGGAGGGTTCTGGTTCTGGTTCTGGTTCTGGTTGTGACTCTCAATGTCTTGTTCTCAGAGGACGACCCAGACTACGACTTCCTCCTCACAGACCAGTCATCCTCGGAGACGCTGCCTCCTCTGGCCCCCGCCCTGCCAGAGAAGAGACGACGCAGCACCGCAGGTGAGAACACACCTGTCGGTCTGTCTGTCCGCCTGTCCGTCTGACTGTCTGTCCGCCTGTCCGCCTGTCCGCCTGTCTGTCTGACTGTCTGTCTATCTGTCCGCCTGTCTGTCTGACTGTCTGTCCGACTGTCTGTCTGACTGTCTGTCTGTCTAACTGTCTGTCCGACTGTCTGTCTGACTGTCTGCTGTCTCTAAACTTCAGGA